ATTCAAAATACGTTTATTTAACATAAACATCAACAAATATCAACAAACATCTAAATGACAATAATCTAAAATCAACAACAAAAAAAGCTAATTTTCAAACATCTGAACAAAGCTGAAGCTAAATGGTCTTTGGCAGTGAAATAAGTCATATCGCTGCTACCAGACATCTTGAGAAATTATAAATGAACAAAACTTTAATAAGTAAAACAATAATATTCAACGATAAACATTTTAACATGTTGCACACTGGTTGGCAGTAAATACAACACATTATTTAAAAAATGGGAAAATGGAAAATGAGTTTTCAAATTCCTTTTCTAGTTTAATTTGTATTTTGTGTAAGAGGTTTTGCGTAGAAGTATCGAAACTTTGAATGACACTGTTTATAATAAAGCAGAAATGTATTTTTGTTACATACAAGTTTCATAAAGTGTCCTGATAAGTTACAACAGTGAAGTAATTCACAGATACCAAAACTAGCAGCTAAATTAAATCAACTCATCAACACTTCTATAACATTTCATTTCAAAGTTGTACTTCAAGACATTCTGCAGCATAAATAAGAAATGTGATGCAAAAACATTTCCTTACTGATAATAAACTGTCCTCTAATCAGAGGTCAGCAGGGCTTTCAGGAAGCAAAGGGAAAATTACAGCTTTCTTTTTAATTCACATTCATTTTTATCAAACACTTTCACCATCTAACAGAGTTTTCATTCGACCTGGTTTCAGATTGACGCCAAAAGTGAGGAGACAAACAGATGCTTTTGTCCATGTTTATTTGTGTTTGTCTGTTGTGTTAGATTAATCGCTGATAAAACCCTGGGTAAATTTTATTGAAACTCAAAAATTAATAAAGGTAATCAGTGGATGTGTRTATACGGCAGGTTACCTTTTGGAATGGAATCAATCCCATTGTAGATGGCGAGCCACCTTTAAAAGCAACATTTTAAAATCCAAAAACTGGCTAAAATTCTATCAGTTGTACACATCTAGATTTTGGTGTGGTAGTAGCTGAGCTTCATCCCCAATTTATATTCCAAGTGATAACTGATTGAGCAAGGTTTGTTTTAAAAACTTTGTCAACTTTATGTATATTAGCAAAATATTTCATGAAGCACAAGATGGATTTTAGTGAACCTTTCAGGAAACAAGTAGAATAGAATAGAATAGAATAGAATAGAATAGAATAGAATAGAATAGAATAGAATAGAATAGAATAGACTTTATTGTCATTATAATTTGCATCACAATGAAATGTAGAATGTAGATGTGCCTTTATTATCTTTCAAAGTTAACCCAATTCAAGATGACTCCCACACAAAAATGACTTTATGAAACATTAAAATGGCTATAATTTAGTCAGTTTTACAACCATCAATCTTGAATGTGGTATGGTWGTAAGTGAGAATCATTCACAACACATACGCTGAGTACTACACAGACAGCATGTTTGCTTAAAACTTTGGCAATAATTGTTGACGTCAATCATGTCTGTTAACAAAATATCTCATGAACTGGTTGGATTTTAATGAAACTAAACATGTAACTAATAAAAATGGCCACCACAACTAAATGGCATTAGTAAACGCAAAAATGTTAATGACATAGTCAGTTGAAAAGGTATGAGCTAAAATTCAGTGTCCTTGTAGCTGAATGCCGTTAGAAGACATCAGTAATCTAAAGGTTCTTATATTAGATTATACAAAATGTTTTTTACACAGTTTGACCAAAATGACCATAACTCTGCTGCTTTTTACTAGATGATGTTTTGAGTTAAAAACTTCAGCATGAAAGGTGGTGGGTGATATATTCCTTTAAAGACTGTGAGGCCATAGATTACTAGTAGAGATCATCGTCCMCTTCCTCTCTGTACAGACTGGGCCTCTCTGTTCCAGAACCAGAACCTGACCCATGACTTTCAGAGCGGGTACCAGTAGCAGAGGGGAACCTGGAGAAAAAGAATAAAACATCAGGAGTAAATATCTGGAGAACTCTTGTACATGGTTCCACTTTCTGTGTTTTGTGCACGTGTGTACCTAAAATTTCCAAATCCTCGGCTCTGCTGCAGAGTCTGAGCAAACATCTCATACTTGCGAATATCGTTGTCACTGACGGAACGACGAGCAAACCGCATTGCTTCCTCAAAGTGGTCCTTCCTGATCTCAGGGACTGGATCAAAGTCCTCATCCTGCAGGAAAAAATAAAAATAAGAACTCTGTGTGTGTGTGTGTGTGCATGCGTGCGTGCGTGCGTGTGTGCATGTGTGTGTGCGTGGACACATTTTGCTACGTTGTGGGGATTATTTTTCCACAAATACACAGCATCATGGGGATCCAATGCACCTCTTGGGGACCAATGTCTGGTCCCCACAGGTACAGATGCTGATTTGGGGWGTGGGGGTGTTAGGTTTAGGACCAAGGTATGAATTGAGTTTAGACTAGATTTTGGGTCAGTTATGTACTGGGGTGGTTAGTTTTAAGGTAAGGTATGAGGTTAGGCTGTAGAAAATACTGGAAAATGAATGGAAGTCAGTGCAGTCCCCTGAGGATAAAAAAAAAAAAAAAACGTGTGTGATGGTGTAATTCAGTATATTGTGGGTGTAAAGCTGAGCAGCAGCGGTGTCAGCTGACCATAGGGATGCCTGGTCTTGTCTGTCTCTGGCGCTCTGCCTTGATCTCAGCCTCAATGGCCTCCCTGATGGCCAGTTTACAGGCCCGCTGGCAGATCTCCGTCAGGTCTGCTCCGGAGAACCCTTCTGTGATCCCAGACAGGAATTCCAAATCCACATCCTACAGACAGGAAGTGCAAAGSAAACAAAACTTAACACAAAAAGTAAGAAACGTGTGTTTGGTAGATTGTTTATTTATTTATTGTAACAAAGCTTCTTGACAATAAATCTTACATCACAGCCTGGCAATTTCTCTTTTAAATGATGCCACATTTATAAGGAACATGCRKTTGTGGGATGAGCAGTAGAGCTAAGTATGTGGGTTGTGCATATGAAAAGTTGCTCTAATCTTCTCTGCAAAACAGCTAATTTTGCTGTTGCTACTGACACTGGTTTTAAGCTTTTGGTWCACCAAGATGCTGCCAATCAGAAGATCTGTTGCCAAGAAGATTTGTTACTATAAAGAAATAATCTATCAAACACATATTTCTTTAATTTTTTTTGCTAGGTATAGCTGTTCACTGAATCTTTTATATTATTTATTATTTTTGTTTCACTAATGCTAATGTTAAAGCAGAATCAGATCTACAACTGATAATGTAAATAATATTAAGGCTGAGTTTAGTTCAAAATGGACTGATAACATATTTCTGCTTTCATGTTGAYACCCATTTTTGTTTCTCTTTTTTTAAATTGGATTTTTAGAACCTTTCAGCACAACTAAAAAAACATATACTATTCAAATCACAGAGAGCTGAAAATAAATAAATAAGTAAGTAAATAAA